AAGACAAGACAGACGTTGCAGTGCTGTTGGGATCTGGGATTTTAAAAAAAAATTATAGGTTTAAGATTTTCATATTTACAATTTTGCTAAGCTGAGATTTAAGGTTTGGAGAAAAAAATAAAATCTTCTACCTTCTAGTTCTCACTAGAAGTCGTACGTTGCACCTGCTGAGTGGAAAGAATTCGTCTGTCAGCCCCGAGGACAACGTCTACTGAGCTGACGTAGTCCCAAGAATGTTTACTTTAGACCATTTCCTTTTGGCAGGGCTCTTGCACAGCTGCTCGATAACTGTTTTTGTAGAAAGTGGGGCTTTTTTTTGTAATTTAAGAAAAGCGTATTGTCGAAAAACACTTTAACATTTTGAAGCCGAAGAGCCAAACTGAAAGTGGAACTTCTAGACTTCACCCCAGAAGTAAGAAAACATTGTTGAAAACCACAAAGAAATTTACAGCTATGCTCATAACTAGAAACCCAACCTTGGAACACAGAGTTTTTCAGCAGCATGCGGTGCTTTGATTTATGTGGTGATAGTTTTCCATCATATCCTTGTTTCAGGATTCAAGTTTTATCTTTACAAACACGATTTCACGTAAGCATTAGACGTCAGTGGGTGAAAGCTCGTGGTACTTGTACAAAAAGACTGACGAGTCCAGTTCATTCCCCAAGTCTTTAAGGTTTCAAATGTCACCTAAACACATTCTGGTGTGGTATTACGTTTGACTGCAATAAGCCTTTCAGCGTCATCCGCCGCTCCACAAAGAGTGTGAAGGTTCCTCTTCTCCGTCCAAATGAATGCCTTTCAGTCCGGCGGCCTTCTCATTTGATGAATGCACAGTGAACAGTTTTTGAGCGGCTGAAAATAGCCACCGACATGATTTAACGTCCACCCAGAACACTGCAAGAACCACCAAAGTCCAAACAATATCACCATGCAACAAGCAGCACACACACAGTGACGTGAGTGTGTGTTCAGCCCACCGCATTAAAACAAGCTGCTGCTCTGTGTCCTTCCCAGGAGGAGAGAGAGAAAAAAAAGTCATGCTCTTTTCAAACATAGATAAATTTTCAAGACCTTTTTAAATTTTTACATTCCCCATTGTGTGGTGTAACAGAAATAATTTAAGGCCACATTCTTTCTGGTTCACCTTTAAATGCGTGCTGTGCTGTGCAGATTTCTTTTACTGTATATTCCCTGTAGGAGGTGAAGCCGGAGCTAAGAGCAAAATGTTCCCTGTGTGAGCATTTAACTCTGAATGCAGAGAGTTGCTCCAGAGATGCTGCACTATTTATGGGGAGGCAGTGTAGAAAGAGCGATGGGGGTGAGCGATGAGGCATTCCTACATCTGTGCTGCAGGAGTGTCAAATGTTAGGGTTTAAAGAGGCGGGGGGGAGTCTGAACTAAACATGGTTATTCTCCCTACATTAGTCATTTTGTTTTTGTTGTTATTGGTCAATAAAAACAGAAGCCGTGCTCTTTTTACATGTAGATGTGTGAGCTGTGATTTATAAAATGGTGCCAAACACAGTGGAAGCAGTAAACGATGGGCCGAGCTGAAGGGGCGGGTTAGGATCAGAAATACATACTTACTTTGTGCAAAGTTTTTCTTTCACAGTTTTGCGTGCAGTATTCAGAACCACACGATGCTGCTGAACACCACGAAAACAGCGCGAAACAGCCGTAGAGACTCACACTGAGCTAAAATCAAACAAGTCCACATAAATTATGGAAATACCATGAATAAAATACCATGCATTTAAACTCATTCTTTTTGGAACACCGACCGACTGCACTTTGGCTTTTTGCAGCGCCGTGTTGGAGGTTGCTCTGCGCCTGTTTACATGCTCGGGCTGATTTCAACGGGAGGGACTCAGATGCACAGACACACTGCAGAGCCAGCTACTAAAACACAGAACAGAGAAGCTCAGATCACTGCTCATGAACCAGGAGGGTGACTTCAGACTCTGCTCAGGGCAACATTTGTCTCTTAGAGCTTCACAGAGCTGACAGCTGTTTGCTGCATTAACGCCATATTCATGGTCAAAATCCTGCATTTTAGAAAGAAAGAGTGAAGGTAGAAAATGATGTAAATATAAAATGAATTGCTGGTGTTAATCAGTGGTTTCCTGTGTTTTCAGTTCTGTTTAAAAAGCATCACAACCCCCTGCAACTGTACATTGACTCTACCTGTACTTAGTGGTAGCAGCAGGTGGACGTCCAAAGCTTCTCCAGAATGAGGTGATTTAATATAATGACGGCTCTTTCCAGCAGCTGTTGCATTGTTGTCTTGTGTGCAGTAAACTGATATCATGAACCCTGACGAACTGTGGAACAAAATGCATTGCATCGTTAAAGTGTTGATAGAAAGTATGGACGTACCAGGAAGTCAGTGTTTTATGTTGTAATTATGGAGGTTTTTGAAGATACTTTTTAAAAATGCATTATTTGCCTTTATTATTTTATTATTCAGAGTAGTGGAAAGAGGAGAGACGAATGGGGAGAAACCTGCAGCAAAGGGCCATGAGCGGGATTTGAACTCATGACCTCTGCATCGGGGACCATAGCCCCGTTCATGAATCACTGTCTTGTCTGGTTGAGCTACCGGGGCGCCCCGTTTCTGAAGATACTTAATGGACATGATGAAGGGACAGAGGGTAGATCCAGTTTCGTGTGGGTAGAAATGTCAGGCACATCCCAAGCGTCGACTCAAACAACTTAAAGTCATATTTTGTTTTGCAGATTTTCTCAGAATTCTGTTAAACTTGTGCAACAGTTGAACAGCAATCTGCAGCTAACACAAGATCCTGCTGGTACCATCCCTGTTGGGTAAAGTTTTGGGTTAATAGATGGCAGCAGTTTACCTGTCAGATGGTACAGACTGCAAGTATTGTTATATCGCATTTATCAGATCAGTGCATCACTTTGGTTTGTTACAGAATGATGTTAATGAGACCTTGCATCACGGCACTGCCTCGGCCCACATGAGAAAATCTAAAGGAAAAAAGATGCAAGCATGGCCCCTTGTGCTGTCGTAACAATCTGTGATCAGAAGCTTTTTACTATTTTTTTTTTTTTAATGAGCGACGCTCTGCTTTTCATTGTCTGAAAGGGAAAGTACGTGATAAAAGTCAGGGTATCGATGCAGGTTTCTTATGGTAAAGGAAAGCTGGATTATGAGGAGCAGCCGTATACCTCCTCTCCTCCTTTTACTCCCCCCTTCATCTCTCTTCATGTCCTTCAGCGCCTTAATTCAAACCCCTGCCTTGTGAAACAGGCAGAGGTGAGAGGAAGACGGTGATGATATCTCCGTCTCTCTGCATGGCCACATGGAAGCACGCTGAGCTGTCCGTTGGTGAGCAAACAACATTATGCAGCCTCCAATCTGACAGCAATGCGCTGAGCTCTTATCTGTTTTTCTTTTTTAATTTCCTTTCCGTGACGTTTCTCCTTGTGTCAGTTCTGTCGGACCAGCATGCTTTGCTCCAGCCAGCGGTGACCTCATATGGGCGCGCTCACTAAGGGTGGCCCAAACCACAATGGCAAGTCCACCTTCAGGGTGGTCCACTGTGGCAGAGTAGGTTTTCTGTTCGAGGTTGCTCATAGCTTCAGACAGCGTCATAGTTCTGTGTTGCACTGAAAGGTAGCCGGAGCTATCACGGTGTGGCTGCACCTCGACACACACGCTTTAGCACAGCAGCATCGCCCTGCAAGGCATTTTCTAACAACATCAAGCTGCACGTGTGCTTAGAAACGCATCCACAGAGGTGCACAGCTGATATTTGATATGGCATTTAAGATGAAATATGATAAAACGTTATTAATCCTGAAGGAAAGTCTCATAGTGGATATTCCTCAGAAAAGACAAAACAGAAGAAATGCAGCGCCTAAAAAGTAGAAAATTACTTTACTGAAATATAATAGGTAGGCTGAAATAAGGCAATAAAAAGTACAGCTGGCATATGATACTGAGGTAATAATAAGTAATATCACACATGAT